ACGGGACCGACAGTGAGATCATTGCGAATACGGCTGGCTTCTCGTGTCGCGTTTAACGCGCGTCTAACGTCGACGAGGCCTTCATAACCACAATACTTTGCGAACCACAGTAGTCTGTGTCACAACAAGTGTGCAAACGCTTGGCTGATAGACGCGACGTGAGGCAATCCACTTTCTGGGGCGGTATTGCCCACATCCCTCGTGCATTAATTGTGGTTAATTCGGCTTATCGGCTTGTTAGACGCTAGTCGTACGAGACAAGCTCGACGGACCGGTAAACGTGACGAGAATTGAGCACGTATTGCAACGATCTCACATATCGGACCGTATCTCCTATGTAAGCAAATTTCGATTTAAATCCGAAAAGAATCCCCGAAAAAACGCAATGTCCCTTGCACGTATCGAAAAGAAGCTGCAACAGAAAAATTAACTGATTAGCGAAAAATTATAGAGAATTATTGAAAAGAAACAAATTAAAATAATTGAAACGAATGAAATGCTAAAGGAGGGAAACTATAAACATAACGTTCAAAGGAGAAATTAAGACGAGTTCTCCGAAAATGTTAAAAATGTTTGCTCATTAGTATTAAATATTTGCTCCCATGTCATTTTCCCACCTATTCTACAAATCGTCAATGTGCTTTGATTTCTCTATTGCAACTTTCCTCTCTAATTTCGTTAATGTAGTACGTTTCTCGTTTCGCGTATTTTGATTTCTCAAAACCTCGTTAACGTCTCGGAAATCACTTTTGTACCTCGGCTGTAGCTTCTTCATGGTACATGTACGAGACAGTGCGAATTGCGCAGAGATAATTTACTACGACCGACGCGGTGGATACGGGACCGACAGTGAGATCATTGCGAATACGGCTGGCTTCTCGTGTCACGTTTAACGCGCGTCTAACGTCGACGAGGCCTTCATAACCACAATACTTTGCGAACCACAGTAGTCTGTGTCACAATAAATGTGCAAACGCTTGGCTGATAGACGCGACGTGAGGCAATTCACTTTCTGGGGCGATATTGCCCACATCCCTCGTGCATTAATTGTGGTTAATTCGGCTTATCGGCTTGTTAGACGCTAGTCGTATGAGACAAGCTCGACGGACCGGTAAACGTGACGAGAATTGAGCACGTATTGCAACGATTTCATATATCGGACCGTATCCCGTTTGTATTTAAATTCCGATTCAAACTCGAAACGAAGTTCTGAAAAAAGACAATGTCTCTTGCACGTGCCATGAAAGAAATGCAACAAAAGTATTAAATGATTAGCAAAAAGTTGAAGAAGATTATGGAAAGGAAAGAAATTAAGAGAGCTGAGACGGTAAAAATACTACAGAAGGAAGATTAAAAAAAGAACATATAAAGGTATAACTAATAATAAGAAGAGTATAATTAAGAAGAGGTCTTTCTAAATGTTTGAATAATTAAACGATTGTTTTAAAATTTATTCCAATCTATCTCCCTGTTTCTTTTTACCGTAACGCGTCAGAAAAAAAAATTACTTATGATTAGTAATCAATTTGCACGCATGCCATCATGTCAGTATACATCAATTAACAATACAACATGGATATTATAATAATATTATAATTATGATAATGTAACTCACGTATATAACAGTTAGTTTACTGCGTATTAATTTGAACAGGGTAATAGAAATTTTAAAATTGTAAAAAGATTGAAGTTGCGTAATGTATTCAGGCAAATATACACATCATACTATTGGTGCAATAATATATGCTTTGTGTATTTGATTGAATTCACTCTGCGACTCAATCTTTTATATAATTTCGAAATTTCCATTATAATTTCCTTGTCCAAATTACTCCTGTACTCTATATTGTTAATTGTGGAGTTATATTATTGTTACTGTTTTTTTATTTATGCTATGAAAAACTTTAACAAAAGTATGAAATAATTTATGGAAAATCATTGAAATCTTTCGCAGATTGTGACGAAGGGAGTATTACAAAAAGGGGAGTATTACAATATTAAAGAAAAAAATGTTTGTAATAAAAATTAAGGGAAGCCTTTCAAAGATGCATTAAGTGTGTGCTAAGCCTTCAATATCGAAAAGAAATATTTTATACATATTCATTTGAATTTATTCAGCAATGCGAAAAAACTGTTTATATTTGTCCTGAATGAAGACATTATATGGGATATATCTGATTTGATAATTTAAACAAAAAATCTATATTGCCAAATACATCACAATGTTTATTATTTTTTCATTTTAAGGTATAATGAATCCATGAAATTTTGTATATTGATATGATCACTTAATATGATTGTAAGAATATCAATATATAAACGTACATCTGATACAATTAAGATTCATTAATTACCATTAATAAACCTCATTACCACTAATAAAATATTTTATCACTCACCGACTGATGCGTAAGTAGAGTTATCGATCATATAGCTATGATGATTCTGTAACAAACAAACATAAATTACAAATTAAAATAATGCTCAAAATAATCAATGATTTAAGAGATACTTTTTACACAGAATTTTTTAATCATTTTTCAATTAAATATCTATTGAAATAGTTGTTCTCACTGTTCAAAAAATATCTTCATGAAAATTAACTTTTTCAGTGTTTTACATTAATTGTTTTCTCTAATTATTATTTTTAAATCAAAATAAAATAATCCGAATAAACGGGAAAGGAAAGCTAATTTTATTGTAAACGGTAAGTAAACTGATGCTTACCGTGAAGTTGCTTCCGGCAACTAATGCTTTTTTTATGTCTCCTCTTATCAAATTTTCAAATTTTTTCCTTTACCTCCTCAAGTTATCTTTATTATATGATATGATCTTTATTAGGTTGCACTCACATTATGATACGCAATAGCGAAATCTCGTATAACAATAACGTAGTATCTCTGTACAACACTAATCTGTAATACATACAAATATATTCAAATAAAAATAATGTCTAAAGTAAATATATTGAAGAAATAATAATTTTATTGACATTTACGTACGCAAGTAATCTTATTTATGATTTAAAATCAATCTTTTTGATATAAAATTTAATTAAAAAATAAATCTTATATTAATTGTAAATATCTTAAATATTTATATATATTTGTTTATAACTATAAATATTTTACTAAATATTTAAAAACTCTTAAAATATAATATAAAATACTTTATTTATTTGATAGTATTACATATAGTATAGCAATTATATTACATAACAAATCTAAAATACTGTACTATTCATATAAATAATTACTTTCACCAATTCATTAATAAATAATAAAATTATTTAATAAATAAATTATTCCAATAATAAATAATAAAATTAATTAATTACGAAATGCTCATTTCGCTCCGTCATGCTTATTATCGCCCTAATTTTAATTTTACTTGTTCTTTTATATTATATATTGCTATTTCTTCATGCTACATCTGTTTGCAAAAATTAATAAATTATTATTTACAATTAACTGCGATTACAATTAATCACTAGAAGAACAATCGCGCGGCTTTATCAAACTTTGTTCAACATACTCAGTAATTAATCACATTTAACGCATATTTAACATGTTACGATAGTGGAAAAATCAGAATATACGAAATTACAGCACGTTTGATAAAATGAGAACGCAATGAATTACATTTAATTGTAAAATAATAAAGAGACTTATTTTCTGCGCGATCAATTTTACGCTGACAGCTATATGACGATGATGCTAAATATTTCCAATCGAACAAGCACTGCGAAATGCACGTTCGATCGAATTATCAGCGTACGATTATCGAAATCTATTATGCAATATTTTCAGTGAAAAAAATTAATAAGTATAAATGCAAACTTCACTTACCTATTAAATGAGTAATGACGCTATCTCATCCGTCAATCTGTCCTGAGCTGTCCTGTAAATGAAATGAACACGTTAGAATAGCGAGAAGGCTTCGTTTCTTGCGTGGACTGCGAACAACTTCACACGCCAAAAGTGACGCGGAGCGATGACGACGCTACGCGTCCCACTCTTAACTTCGCGTTTATACATTTTCCGCATTTCGAGCATAAATAGAATATGCGCATTACATTGTAATAGAATAAGCGTATTGACTACATTTACACCGTATAGTTCAGGCCACGACCTATACAATAAGTGTCCTTGTTTATCCTGTAGATTAAACAAAGACACCTATCGTAAACGTAGCTACGATTATGATTAAGATATTCGCGACATTCGTAATAAATTGCTTTATCAATTATTCACGCAATACATCTTCAATCGAATAAATATTGAGATACGCGTTTTAATAATTATTAGTAATGTATGAGCGCCAAATTGATGTTTCGCATCAGTTGAATATTGCAAAAATGTGAGGAGAAAAAAAAAGTATAATAATATAAGTTTTTTTTTACCAATTAAACGCTACGCCGAAAGTATTTTTCGCAATATTCGTTCCGTAGAATCAAAAATAATAAGGCTGCGTTAACTTTGATGATGCATAAAGTTGATCGCGCACAAAAAAACGACGCCACTTCGCCATCTTAATGAAATCGCGATGGATATGGTGTAGACAGACGAAGCGCACTGTCACTTGTCATTTGTTTCGTCGTCCGTCTCGAGTCCGCTGCGATCTCATTAAGATGGCGGAATGGCGTCGTTTTTCGCGTGCGGCCAACTTCATGCATCATCGAAGTTAACGCAGCGTACTACTTTTCATTCGATTAAACGAATATATTGCGAAAAATACTTTCGGCCGAACAATCAGTATACTAGTCCTATTAGATCTACATTACGCGATATTTAAAATGTTACAGGAAATTCACGGCCGCGAAAACAGCGGTATTAATAATTACGTACATATTAATAACATTAAATATTTTATTCAACACGTAAGACATGTAAAATTGTTCCAGAACTAAAAGCGATCGGTTCTTAAAAACATTTCTCGCGTCGCGTGTGAAAATATTAATAATTTGATAATATTTATGTTACCTTGTTAGTATAATTTGAAGTGCGATTCTCTCGAGCCGTTTTCCGTCGTGTTATTATTCTCTACAGGAACTAGGATATTTCTGGAGATCAGGATACTTTTGAAGGAAAGGTTGATAATAACTCGAAGCCAGGGGTGCGAAATATTTCAACGTAATGTTACAGGACACAACCCCGTTCCTCGTCGACTCGCAAAAGCGCGAGATCGTCGCTTACGCGTTATTTATAGGAACTGCGGACCCTCAAACCCCACCACTCTCAAGCTAGCCAATGAGCGCGAGTCTCGCTGCGGGCGCTGTACGCTGAGCGTTCATTGGACCGCGTTAGCTTTCCAGATAAGGTATATAAACGCTACGTGCAATAAATTTCAGTCTTTTTCGAAATTTGGGAGTGTGCGTTTCGTGAAGTCGGAGAATCCTGTACATATTCAGAACGCGCTTTTACAATGTTATTTAACACATAGTTAACTTATTTATCGTTGAAAGCGCGTTCTGAATACGGAAATTATATTCTTTTTGAAAATAAAAAACAATTAGATTAAAGAATGACTATCGAAGAGACAATATGAAAGAAAAGTTGATCTCTTAAAATAATAAAGCCATTATAATTTATATTATACTTTTTAAAGTAATCTAGCGCATATAATTTAGCATTACAATTTAATATGAACTCGCACCACATTTATTTACGATATTGTGATTTTATCGCCAATACGTAGCTATGTAGTTCCTACATCGAAAATATATGTACTGGCGCTAATGTATGGAGGTTTCTCTCTGCTAGTCGGTATTGCGTTGGTGTGACTAGGTGTGACGAATGACAACGTCAGTTTGAGCAGAAAATGGTTATCTCAGTTTTAGGTTATGTCGAGTGACATTTCTACTGTTTCATTTCGTAAATTTTAAACTTTTTCATTCAGTATGACTTATTTGAATCAACCAGATTACGTGCGCTACTTGTGCAATTGTGGCTCCTTAAAATCTATATCGAAGATATATTTCTGCCGACATTGCTTGATGATACGATGCGGTTACTGTGTCTGTCAGGAGGTACGATTTTTTTAAATCTATAAGTAAATTCGAACAAAGAATATAATAGGAAATATTTAATACTGAATCCATTCACAAAATGTACTCTAACATAAAGTTCTTATTTATAAAAAAATGTCTCTTTTGTATTTAGGTTGACTCTCATTATTGTCCCAATTGCATGGAAAATTTGCCCTCATCGGAAGTACGTCTTAAAAAGAACAAGTATGTTCATATATATTAGACTTCATATGTTAGAGATAGAGATTATGAATTCAGTTATTATTATATTGAATAATTGGTATTAACAGATGTTCCAATTGCTTCGACTGTCCTTGCTGTTTTCAAACATTATCGACAAGAGCAGGACTAGCACCTGTAAGAGCAGCAGCACCAACTGAGGGAGAAGAAAACAAGGATGTTAAAGCTACTCCTAAAAAAGTATATTATCTATTCTGTTCATTGTGCCGATGGAGTTCTCGAGATGCAGGAATACCTGATCAATCCGTAGGTAAGAAGTTTCGCTATTAAATAATTTTATAAATAAAAATTGAATAGAGAACATTTTCCTAACTTATACTTTGAATTGTTATAATAAATAGAGAAAGGATTGAATAGCCATGCTGCTTATTTATCTAATTATACTGATTTAACTACTTTATGTATTGAACAATATTAAGTACATATATACTTTATGTATTCCTAAATACTTTATGTATTGATATGTATAATTAGATAATTTTAAAAATTGTATATTAGATAAATAAGCATAGTCATCTAGTTTATTAGCCCTTTCTCTGTTTATTGCAACGATTTTTAATCTTCAGAGCGTTTGTACCAATTTTATTATATTTTCAATTTCTGCTTGTAGCAACTGGAGGATGGCCTGAACAGGAAAATCCACATGTAATGCGTATTAATGCTCTTATTGATTATCACAAGGTATTAGCCTCTATAGAGAAACAGCAATGTGAAAGGAAGAAAATTCATCCGAAACGCTCTTTTATGCCAGCTGTAAGTTTAGTGAGAATTATTCTTATTATATATTTGTTTAAAAACGTCTTCCTAACTATATTTGCTTGCCAATAGCAGACAATGTACAGTTTTACATCGGCGTTGGTTCGCAAGCGTATTGGACGTCCCATGAAACCGCCATTGCAATCTCAATCATCTGCTCAACCAGTACCATCAGTTGCAAGTGAAGAAGTGGATGAATTGCCAAACGATATATTTACAGAATCTGTGGATATAACTAAAAGTAAGAAAATTTTCAATGACATGAGTGACAGCATTGGTATAAACTTTATTTTAAATATATGTAATTTTGTGTAATAGTTACTACGTTGGAACAAAGATTACAGCATCCGGAGGTACAAGCTGAGAAAATAAACGAATTGCGTCCTCAGCACAGACAATTTTTAGTCAAAAGATCGCAACGTTGCAGAGTGTGTGAACATAATGTTAGCAAATCAGATCTTTGTCCTCAATCAACAAAGTTCAAGATTTTACTAGCTGCATTGTAAGTATTACATTAAAGGATCAATTATTAACATCAGTCATGATGTTAATACATAAATAATATATACAATTATATAATTTTGATTTTCATTATATTCTTGAATGTATAATTAAAATTGTATTCTTTTTTTAGTTATCATATCCCAGAAGTCAAGATTGTTACTTGTGAACCACTTCGACCAGGGAAATCAAGTGAACTGCTTCTAAAATTCTGTAATCCAACGCAGCATCAAACTCAGATAACTATATTGCCTTTGGATACTTTGTTATCTACTTCACTCACTGAGGAAAAAGATATTAAACAAGAGGATACGCAAGTAATATCAAATTAGAATTTTATCATAAACTGCAACATATTTTAATAATTTGGTTAATTGTAGACGAATGAATCTTCGAATTTATTGCCATCTACTGTACGACAAGCACCTGTAACAGAAGATCCTAAGGCAATAAAAATAGTACCGAATGCAGATTTGATATTGCCTCACAGTTCATTGATTCTTCCACCAAGAGATGATGCTGCTGAATATGATGATACAAATGATAATCATAATTTTCAAGATGATCCAAAGTACGTGAAATATACAAATTACGTAAAGTTAATACAAAAAGATAATATGAATTTCATTATTTATACAATCTTTTTTAGACTTGTAGTATGGCGAAAAGGAAATAAAGCAGTCATACGTTTGCACGTAATTCCACACGATACAAATAAAGATAATGAAGATTCAATTATAGTTGGATTTGTCATGCAACATGGATACGTAAATACTATTGCAGCACTAGAACATAAATCTCCGCAAAAAGTAGATGTAAAGGTCAAGTTATATCTTACTGTTGGTCAGTTAGTTGGCGAAACATAATCTTTTTCAATTTCATTAGAATTGCAAAATAGAAATACTCTATACATAAATGCTTTATAGTTTTTTTCAGTAGTCGATTATAAATTAAATATTAAAGATACTTAAATATTTATACTTCGATGTATTATTTTTGTGTTGAACTTAATATTCATAATATATTCATTAATAATCTATATATATGAATACAAAATGTAAGAATGCTCTTAATCATTTATCTAATTTTTTATATTGCAATTAAAAAAGAAAATTAAGTCGTATTAAGAATATTTGTTATAATTTATATATACATATATATATATATATTTTTTTTTCATGTATCATGAAAATTGCTTCTTTTATCATAATAATAAAACGAACATAAATTGTTTTTGAGCAATTACCATATAAAAAACAGACAAAAATGGGCTTTATAAAAAATGCAATGTTTCTTGTTTTTTTTAAATATGTTTATTGAAAGATAATACATTTCATATAGAAAGCCATAAGAACAGCTTATAGCCTACGTCCACGACGACCTCCCTTCCTGCGAGTAGAATCTGATGGAATAGGAGTAACATCTTCAATACGACCAATTTTCATGCTTGACCGGGCTAAAGCACGCAGAGCAGATTGTGCACCTGGGCCAGGAGTCTTTGTTTTATTGCCTCCCGTAGCTCTTAATTTGATATGCAGTGCTGTGATACCCAAAGATTTACATTTTTCTGCAACATCCTACAAAGCAAAAAATTATAGTTTACATTGTACCAATATTTTAATATATCGAATAGTTATAATTAATAAAAGACATGTTTGAATGTCTTCTTTCTTTACAGAGAAAAAGTGCATGATGCAAGCACATGTTCTCAATTATTAAAAAGAACTTGCTTTTCCACAAACACGTGAACGCTCCTTAGATTATAATAATCTTATATCTAGGTGCTGCCTGGATGTGGATAATAATACATTTTCTTGAACTAATTTAAATGATCAAGTTAACAACCTGAGCTGCAAGCATAGCTGCGTAAGGCGAGGCTTCATCACGATCTGCTTTTACCTTCATGCCACCAGTAACTCTAGCAATTGTTTCTCTATAAATGCAAACACCATTTTATCTCAATGTGTTGAATTATTATTATAGGGTCATATAAGGCAACTATATAATGTCCTGAAAAGTTTGTAAGAAGAGAGAAGAGGATTTTGCTCAATTAGAATGAATCAAGAAAGATAATTGATACACAGAGAGTATTTTATTATCTGTTTATTATCTGTAGGAAAATTGAAACAACACAATGTAGCACAAAACAATACAGTTCCTTAGGCCTAGTTCCACAACTGATGGTTAACTCATAACCTAGGTTCAACTTATTCATGCCTCTTTTCAATTTTAGAATTGAAAAAAGATGAGAAACAAGTTGAACTTCGGTTAAGAGTTAACCATGAGTTGTGAAACTGGGCCTTAGACTCCTGAGAAATATCTTGTAGATATTCTTTATCAACTTAGCTGTTTTAATGATGGAAGCTTTTCAGTATGTTATAGAGCTTATTGGATAACAATCATGTTATTTTTTCTCGAGAATAGAAATGTGAAAAATAAATATTTTTATGTATGTATGTACACATAGATACTAAAAATTTTTACTTTTCATATTTGCGCCATAGGAAAAGTTACATGATTGAGCTCCCTGATTAATCTAACATAAATCTAGTACAAACCTGCCCGACAGATCAGTAACGTGCACAAATGTGTCATTGAAGCTGGCAAAGATATGAGCTACTCCGAATACGACTTCTCCTTCACGAAGTTGAGGCCCAAGAGAGACCTGTACTTCTTCCTTCTGTACCTTTCCTCTTTTTGGCGGCATTTCTAAAAAGACAACAAGTATCTTTGTTTATTATCTATAACTCGACTATCTGCTATTATACTTATTATAATATCCGTATAAACATTTTCGGACAGACACATTTTAAGGTTATGTCGATGTGAAAAGTCATCCATCTACATCCACACATGCTGCTAAGTACAAAGCTATTTCGCAGTTGGAACTTATTTATAAATATTCAATTAATTAATCTAATTTAATATTTTTGATAAATGAAACGATATTCGCGGTATTAATGGTTTAAAATACCTGCGAAATGTAAGGATTATAACCTTCCTGTTCCAGCACGATTTAACAGAAACCTTAAAAAGAACGATGCTTCCGGTGACGCAGTCTCTCTAACCAAAATGCAATCGTTCTGCGCATAATAGGGAATTTAGCTGTGTCGTTGTCCAATGACAATTGGATATCCAATAGAAATTCGTGAAAACAGTACTAACCAAGTTCCTTTTATTAGATATCGAATCTTATGGACAAGATTTTGATTAAATTTAAACATTAAAAATATCTCCTTTCAGCCAACTTACACCGTTTTCTCAAGTACGTAATGATAAATGTACGAATGTTTGTTGTAAATTTTATTAAATTTTGTATTCATACAAAATAGTATTTATAATAATATTCGCTCTCATATGCATATCTTTTCTTGTAGTACTTAATAATTAATTATAATCACTTATAATAAATGCTCGAGTTCTCGTGAACTGAGCATTTTTTGAATTCTGTTTAATAATTGGCGTACTTATTAAATATTTAAATTAATATATTTTAACATATGTATACATTTCATAGTACTTAATAATTAATCGGAATCACTTATAATAACGTGATCAATTTTCTTCGACTGTGTACTTCTGGAACTCTGTTCAAAAATAGATGTACTCATTAAATATTTAAATTAACATATTTTAAAGATAAATATTTTTAAACTATTACTCATACCAGCATTTTTAGAATAGAAGCATTTGTTTCATTAGATTTTCCTCTACCACGAGTTCCTCTCGGGCCTCTGGATCCTCTACCGCCTCTTGAACCCCTTCCTGTTCCTTTAGTCTTACTCAAAGTTAAATTTAAATCTCCATCACTGTCATCACTATTTGATACATTGATACTGCTTATCTGTAAGCGAGATTGCTTAAGGTCTTTCAAACTCGTTTGCGGTGATTTGTTTAGTAATTCCGAAACCTGCAAAAGAAAGAAGTGTGTGTGTGTGTGTGTGTGTGTGTGTGTGTGTGTATATATATATATATATATATATATATATATATATATATCGGTACAAATATTATATGTATACACATAAATGTTACATATAAGTATCATTACATTATTCTGTTCCTCTTGTTCTTCTGAAAGCCTTTTGTCGCGGAAAATTTTAATTTCTTCGCGAATATCTTCTGGTGTTTCAACATCTTGCGCTTTTAAATATTCTATGGTTCTTTTCATTTGATTTCTAGTAAGTAAATCCATAAAACAATTTAACAAAAATGAGAGTTGTTCTCGAATATTAATTCAGAAAAGAAATCATCACTAATTACTACCTTACAACACATCTAAAGGCATCTAAATCGCTTTTCTCAACATATCGATTTAAGGCTTCATTCATTGCTGTTACAGTTAATATTGTTAATTTATCTTTATTTTCTTCCATATCAAAATATTTTTTAATTCCTCCTTGCACTGTACTAGTCCAATTTTCCCCTTTCTATAAAAAGAAAAACTCCAAGCAATGCTAAAATGCTATGAAACAAAATCAGTTTAATAAAGAAACTGTTTTTTTACATCTCCTTCGAATAATTCTGCGATATCATCTGGATCATCAATTTCATCCTCAATAGTACGTTTTCCTTTGTCTCCGGTCTTTCTTTTACGGAATAAAATCATGTCCATAGGATTAGCAACTTCATCACAATATCTTTGTGCCAAACTAAAAGCATATTTTTTTTTAGAATAAGGAAGAGTAAAATATGCAATTTCAAATGTAATATTAGAATGCAAAATTTTCAACCTTAATGTATCAAATTGTTCACTATCATGGTCATAAAATATTCTTAATCGAATTAAAGGTTGGAGTGGCTGACCAGGATATCCTAAAATGAGTTTTATCTTACGTATTAAATATAATAATGATATTCACAGGAAAAGGTAAAATTAAAATAATTGATATACCTGTGATTTGTTCAGCAACTTTAGGCATGATATTATTTTCAATATATTGATCTACATATTGACTAATAGCATTTGCTAATGAGACGCAATTTCTCATTTTAATATCATGATCATGAAGAACCAAATTATCAAAAATAAATGGGCGAACACTTTGTAATTTTAAAGGTTTTATTTTGAAGTTACTTTTATTTATTTTAAGAAGACCCACATGTTTGGGTTTTGATTCACTTTCGCATAAAGAAGTAACAATGGAACTTCCTAAAATTAGTTTAATATATAACAATTTTAGAGAAATGAATTCTGAAATAACCTCCACTTGTATGTCCAAATATATATCACAAAAAATATAGTTTTACCTGGTTGAGAAATAAAATATTCGCCTTGTTGATTAAATTCAGGCTTAATGCGACATTCATGTTCATGTCCCCAAATAATTAAATTGAGGAATTTATCCAATTTATCTTCTGATATATAAGCATCACGAACTTTGACACGATTTTGATGTAAAACAAATATGTTGAAAGTCTCTAGGTCTGTTGGACGTATCAACTCAACCTATTTTCAAAAGTTACATTAGTTATTATTTTCTATGATCACACAGATAAAAAAATATGCTTGATGCAGAATGTACCTTATCATCTCTATATAATCTCCATAACCTTTGATCATTGATATAACTTAGACCATAAAGAGCAACATGGGTGTTTCGTTTTTTCAAAATTAAAGGAGATATAACTATGCGTTTAAGATCTGTCCATTTTCCAAAGTAATTCACAAGTCCAGTAGCTGACAGTATGTCCATTGATCCGACAGTACCAAAACCTAATGGATAACAAACAGGACATAGCTTATATAATTAGAGATTCAAAAGAAAAAAAATTATATACTTGGATCATCATGATTTCCATGAATGGTAAATACTGGCATTGAGACATTCAAATTCGGATCTTCATAATTCACATGTTTCTGTGCACAGTGTCGAAATATATGTTCAGAATCACTTAAGAACTCTATCTTGCATTTTCTAAAAATACATTAAAATTACATTATCATATTAAAAA